TATAACATTCACTTAATTTTTTAAAAAACGAGTTAGAGAAAGAAAGTTTTACCAAAGAGATAAAGGAGAGAGAATAGAAATTTCGTCGGATTTTGAGGGAGAAAAACATATGTCATTGAGTTGAACGATTTGCGGAGGCATTAGGAGGTGTGGGGAGAGGTTTTATGGTCGACGGCTGGTTTTTGGTGGAGGAGTGGGAGAGCTGAATGGAGAAGAAAAAGAGAAACCAAGTATTTAAAGGGGTTCAAATTAGTGATGCAAATACAATTCCATTCCTAATTTGAAACCCAAAAGGCTTCAATTTTTCTAAAATTTTCTCGAAAATTGCTAAAATAGTGATAGACCAAATCTTTCATTATTTTAAAATTCAAATTAGCGACGAAGCAATTCCGTTGCTAACTTGAATTAGCAAAAAGCACGGATTTAAAAAATTACAAAGTAGCGATAGATTTGACAATCCTTTGCTATTTTAAAATTCAAATTGGCGATGGATTTTGATTCCATCACTAATATCAAAAAAACCTACCCGTTTGTAGGTTTCAAATTACGACAGATTTAAAATTCATCACTAATTTAGGATTCAAATTAGCGACCAATCACCATTTCGTCGCTAATTTGAAACCCAACAGAAAACCTAAAAATTAACATAATTAAAAAGTAACACTTAACGAAATTAATCTAATAGTTAACCAAATTAAATAAACAATTAACAAAGTTAAACTAATAATTAACATAACAATAAAATTAATAACATTCAAACAATTATTAAAAAAATTTAATTGGTAAATAAAAAAATTAAAAAAACAATTAATCAACCAACAAATAACAAAATTAATCAAAAAATTTATAACATTCACTTAATTTTTTTAAAAAAGAGTTAGAGAGAGAAAGTTTTACCAAAGAGATAAAGGAGAGAGAATAGAAATTTCGTCGGATTTTGAGAGAGAAAAACACACCTCATTGAGTTGAATGGTTTGCGAAGGCATTAGGTGGTGTGGGTGGTTTGGGGAGAGGTTTTATGGCCGACGGATGGTTTTTTGGTGGAGGAGAGGGAGAGCCGAATGGAGAAGAAAAAGAGAACTAAGTATTTAAAGGGGTTCAAATTAGTGAAGAAAATACGATTCCATTCCTAATTTGAAACCCAAAAGGCATCAATTTTTCTGAAATTTTCTCGAAAATTGCTAAAATAGTGATAGACCAAATCTATCATTATTTTAAAATTCAAATTAGCGATAGAAGCAATTCCGTTGCTAACTTGAATTGGCAAAAAGCAATGATTTAAAAAATTACAAAGTAGCGATAGATTTGACAATCCTTTGCTATTTTAAAATTCAAATTGGCGATGGATTTTGATTCCATCGCTAATATAAAAAATCCTACCCATTTGTAGGTTTCAAATTACGACAGATTTAAAATTCATCACTAATTTAGGATTCAAATTAGCGACCAATCACCATTTCGTCGCTAATTTGAAACCCAAAAGGAAACCTAAAAATTAATATAATTAAAAAGTAACACTTAACAAAATTAATCTAATAGTTAACCAAATTAAATAAACAATTAATAAAGTTAAACTAATAATTAACATAACAATAAAATTAACAACATTCAAACAATTATTAAAAAAATTAAATTGGTAAATAAAAATTAAAAAAATAATTAATCAACTAACAAATAACAAAATTAATCTAAAAATTTATAACATTCACTTAATTTTTTAGAAAAGAGTTAGAGAGAAAAAGTTTTACCAAATAGATAAAGGAGAGAGAATAGAAATTTCGTCGGATTTTGAGGGAGAAAAACACACCTCATTGAGTTGAACGGTTTGCGGAGGCATTAGGTGGTGTGGGTGGTGTGGGGAGAGGTTTTATGGCCGACGGCTGGTTTTTTGGTGGAGGAGAGGGAGAGCCGAATGGAGAAGAAAAAGAGAACTAAGTATTTAAAGGGGTTCAAATTAGTGACGAAAATACGATTCCATTCCTAATTTGAAACCCAAAAGGCATCAATTTTTTTGAAATTTTCTCAAAAATTGCTAAAATAGTGATAGACCAAATCTGTCATTATTTTCAAATTCAAATTAGCGACGAAGTAATTCCGTTGCTAACTTGAATTGGCAAAAAGCAATGATTTAAAAAATTACAAAGTAGCGATAGATTTGACAATCCTTTGCTATTTTAAAATTCAAATTGGCGATGGATTTTGATTCCATCGATAATATAAAAAAATCCTACCCGTTTGTAGGTTTCAAATTACGACAGATTTAAAATTCATCACTAATTTAGGATTCAAATTAGCGACCAATCACCATTTCGTCGCTAATTTGAAACCCAAAAGGAAACCTAAAAATTAATATAATTAAAAAGTAACACTTAACAAAATTAATCTAATAGTTAACCAAATTAAATAAACAATTAACAAAGTTAAACTAATAATTAACATAACAATAAAATTAACAACATTCAAACAATTATTAAAAAAATTAAATTGGTAAATAAAAATTAAAAAAAATAATTAATCAACTAACAAATAACAAAATTAATCTAAAAATTGATAACATTCACTTAATTTTTTAGAAAAGAGTTAGAGAGAAAAAGTTTTACCAAAGAGATAAAGGAGAGAGAATAGAAATTTCGTCGGATTTTGAGAGAGAAAAACACACCTCATTGAGTTGAACGGTTTGCGGAGGCATTAGGTGGTGTGGGTGGTGTGGGGAGAGGTTTTATGGCCGACGGCTGGTTTTTGGTGGAGGAGAGGGAGAGCTGAATGGAGAAGAAAAAGAGAAACTAAGTATTTAAAGGGGTTCAAATTAGTGACGAAAATACAATTCCATTCCTAATTCGAAACCCAAAAGGCATCAATTTTTCTGAAATTTTCTCGAAAATTGCTAAAATAGTGATAGACCAAATCTGTCCTTATTTTAAAATTCAAATTAGCGATAGAACCAATTCCGTTGCTAACTTGAATTGGCAAAAAGCATCGATTTAAAAAATTACAAAGTAGCGATAGATTTGACAATCCTTTGCTATTTTAAAATTCAAATTGGCGATGGATTTTGATTCCATCACTAATATCAAAAAAACCTACCCGGTTGTAGGTTTCAAATTATGACAGATTTAAAATTCATCACTAATTTAGGATTCAAATTAGCGACCAATCACCATTTCATCGCTAATTTGAAACCCAAAAGGAAACCTAAAAATTAACATAATTAAAAAGTAACACTTAACAAAATTAATCTAATAGTTAACCAAATTAAATAAACAATTAACAAAGTTAAACCAATAATTAACATAACAATAAAATTAACAACATTCAAACAATTATTAAAAAAATTTAATTGGTAAATAAAAAATTAAAAAAACAATTAATCAACTAACAAATAACAAAATTAATCTAAAAATTTATAACATTCACTTAATTTTTTAAAAAAAGAGTTAGAGAGAGAAAGTTTTACCAAAGAGATAAAGGAGAGAAAATAGAAATTTCGTCGGATTTTGAGAGAGAAAAACACACCTCATTGAGTTGAACGGTTTGCGGAGGATTAGGTGGTGTGGGGAGAGGTTTTATGGCCGACGACTGATTTTTGGTGGAGGAGAGGGATAGCCGGATGGAGAAGAAAAAGAGAAACTAAGTATTTAAAGGGGTTTAAATTAGTGACGAAAATATGATTCCATTCCTAATTTGAAACCCAAAAGGCATTAATTTTTCTGAAATTTTCTCGAAAATTGCTAAAATTGTGATAGACCAAATCTGTCATTATTTTAAAATTCAAATTAGCGATAGAACCAATTCCGTTGCTAACTTGAATTGGCAAAAAGCACCGATTTAAAAAATTACAAAGTAGCGGTAGATTTGACAATCCTTTGCTATTTTAAAATTCAAATTGGCGATGGATTTTGATTCCATCACTAATATCAAAAAAACCTACCCGTTTGTAGGTTTCAAATTACGACAGATTTAAAATTCATCACTAATTTAGGATTCAAATTAGCTACCAATCACCATTTCGTTGCTAATTTGAAACCCAAAAGGAAACCCAAGATCCTTTTTTAGCGATGGAAGAAATCCATCGTTATTTACCGACAAATTTCTACGGATCGTCTTCCTTTGCCAAATCAATGATGAAAATCTATCGCTATTTTTTTGCTAAACGTGGTGCTTTGTTTTACGACATTATTTGATGATAGAATTAATTCTGTCACCGAGAATCGTTTGCTATTCTATCACTAGTTATTTGCAAAAAAAAAAAAAAAACCTTTTTCTCTTTCGTTGTTAATCCGACGATAATTTATCTCTAATTAGAAGCAAAATAGTGTCTATCGCTAATTGTCAATTTCCTTGTAGTGATTATTATGTATATATAACAATATTTTTGAATAATCAACTTTTGAACATTTGAAAATTTTAGTAAAAAATTAATATTTTGTGCAATTTGGTGAATTTAAAAAGGCTTAATCTTTCAAAAAATCATGAACTTTATACTTTTTAAGCATTTTAGCTCTTTCTTTCGATTTTGGATAGAAAGATCACGAATTAAACTTCTAATAAGTTGAATTTTTCGACTTAAATTATGACCAAAGTTGACGTGACACATGATAGAGTATGACAAGTCGATTGAATGTGCCATATGGGATTCCATGTAAGATCCATGAGACATATTAATTGAAATTAAATATCTAATTAAAAAAAATCAAAATCATATCACTAACCACGAAAAATTTTATAATACTCAAGGAGTAATTAGTGTAAGTTACTCCATATAGAAAGATAGACACAAACATGAGAGAGAAAAATAAAAAAAGAAATTTGAGCCAACATGAAAATTTTCTTATCATTTTTTGTGGATCCGAATGTGATTCTCTCTTCTTCTTTTTTTCATGTGTCTATCTCTTTCCTGAAAAGTAGGCTCATAAAGTAACTACCGTAGATGTTCACTAGTTATTCATTGAGTATTATAAAATTTTTCACCAACCACTACTTCTCACACCTTTCCTTAACCACTAGCCACCACCTTCACTACCACTCTCCACAACCCCAAAACAAACTAAAAACCATAGCAAAACAACAACAACATAATAATAATAATAATCTACAGACCTCATCATCCTCTTCCATTAGCCCACCAACACATGAAACGTGATGAAGCATGACGAGTCAAATAAAATGTGTCATGTGGGATTCCACGTATGATCCATATGGCATTAAGTGAAATTAAATATCCAATTAAAAAATATCCTAATAATATCACTAGCCACCACTTCTCATTGCCCTCCTTTAACCACTAACCACCACCTTCACTACCACACTCCACGACCCCAAAACAAATAAAAAATCATAGAAAATAATAATAATAATAATAATAATAAAACACAACCTCATCGTCCTCTTATACAAACCTACCATCTTCTTCAACAAAACAACATCATCCACCACACTTACCGCTACCTTCATTGTCCTTGTCCATAGCCTACCACCGAGTCTTATCTTGTCATCAAACCCACTACAACAAAGCCCACCACCAGCTTTATCTTCAACCTCTAGCAAAACCACCAATAAGCCATCATACTTACCATTAGCTTCATCTTTGTTGAATCCATTGCAACACCGACCTACCACTACCATCATCTTTGCTTTGATAATTAGTTGCCTCCCATTATCCCACATACACTTTCAAAATTCTCCATGAAAACCCCAAATTCCTTCATTAAACTCATAATTGACTTAGTAAGCATTTCTTCCAAACTTGATTAAGTCACCTCACTCCTCCAATCGAATCAATGCATTAAATGTTCTTCTTCTTCTTTTTTTGACAGAGTCATGAATCATAAAGTAGTCAAATTGATGTGGATTTTGGCTTGGTTGAGAAAGGATGGCTAGATCATAGTGAAGATAATACCGTTTAGAACTTAATAGCTTATGGATTAGACAACATAAAGACAACAAGAATATGTAAGAACGATATGTTTTAGAGATAACATTCGAGAGGGAGTAGGTCTAGAATGGTAGTGGGGTGAAGAGGAGATGGTGATGGAGGGGAAGATGAACAGTCTCTCCTAGGTAACTAAACAAGGAGAGGAGGGATGTTAAGCGTGGTGGTGGGCTTGATTTTTTTTTAAAAAAAAAATTGGGTTAGGGAGGGTTTGAGGATTTTATTTTTTAATTGGGTATTTATCAATTAATAGGCTACGTGGATTTTATGTAGAATCATACATGGCACATTCAGCCTGGCTGTCATGCTCTATCATACTCCATGTCAAATTTTGTCAAATTTTAAGCTAGAAAAATTCACTTGTTTTAGTATTGTTACCAAAGGCTTAATTTGTGACCTTTCCATCTAAAATTGAAAGAATGAGCTAAAATGCTTAAAAAATGTAAATTTCGTAATTTTCCGATACATTAAGCCATTTAAAACTTAGGCAGCCCTAGACCTACAATATGTGTTGTGCCATTATATATATATTATTTTTGCGAGTCAATGTGCATTCCTTTGTTATTGTTGATAAGGCATAGGTGACTAATATGCAACAAAAAGCTAAAGGTTCACTAATCCATAACCCCCTTGTATGTGCTTTCAGAATCCAAGGTTTGATCAACCTAAACTGCTTCTACATCTCTTACAGCATATACTCTGCAGGCATTTGCAGCCACTCATGAGCAGAAAGACAGCTAGAGATATTAAGGCCAAAAGTGAATAAATCTTCCCAAATAATGGAACATGAAGACTTCTCTTCATAAACAAGTTATCGGACAATAAAATCATTATATTGTCCTTTCCCAACTGTTTGATTTCCTGGCAGAGTAGCCTTCTACCCCCCAGGGAATTTTTTTTTTTTTTTTTTTTTTGCTGTACTCACCTTTGTGCTAGGCCTAAAAGAATATTTCTTTTATAGTAAAATACTTCCATTGACATGTGAGAAAGGAAGCTGATGTGTATATGACATGGCAGTTGTCTTTCCTCAAACGTAAAAGCAATACATATAAAGGTTATTCAAAGAGGCCTCTAGCAAATGCTCCTTGGTGGCTCTTTAATATCAAGAACTTCACAATCACCATGGGTTAAGGTTGAGATAGTCGTCACTTAATTTGTAAAAAAATAGGTAAAGTATACTAATATGTATTGCGGTTGACATACTTGCAACACATTAATTATCCAGTCACTCACACCTCAGCATTTTTTAGAGTAAAGTTTGGTAAGAAGAATGGAGAAAAGGATTTCATTCAAGATAAGAACAAGGTAGATAGCCTTGTTATTAATATTCCATTTCAGCAATTGACTTTTCCTTTGCTGGTTTCAAAATCAACAACTTCCACAATCAAAGAAAAAGTAGCAGCCCATTTTGGTCGTTTGGTGGCATTTAATATTACGACGGACATGTTATCCAACAACTCGTAAGGTGGTAAAGATACCAATTGACGTGTCCTTCTAGTTATATTAAAAAACAGTGGGTGGCATCAGAAAGCTAAAATGCCAGCGCAAAAAGCTTCATTGACACACCCTCACACGGTCAGCTTGTGGAAGAAAAGAAGCCACACGGTGCTGGTTAGGATTTATGACTAAGAACTGTCCCAACTAATCAGGAAAATTTTCTTTATTTCCTTTGTCCCCATCTTGAAAAAGATGCAAGATTTTCCAAAGATAACCAAGGAAAACATTCTGAGGAAGCAAACTAGACAAAACAGAATGAGAATTTTCACCTCCCCAAACCAGTCTAGTTATGCATTTAACAAATGCTGTGAACAGTTTCTGACATTGTAAAAGAAATGATCCCAGTCCCAATTTGTTTCAGTAGCAACTTATTAATCTATTAGCTATCATATATGAAGCCAAAATATGTAGCCCTGAACAAAGAATTTCAGCATATTCGAAATTTGATATTGAAATGTATTTTTATAGTTACTCGAGAGAAATTCAAAAACACTAGCTAGGACCCTACAATATCTTTTCTTAAAGCAATCGAACATGCCATTATTTCTGTATCTTTCCTTAAAATATATCTTTTTTATCCAATTTGTGTGCCTTTGTCCTTGTCGATGAGCCATAGGTGACTCATGCAGCAAAAAAGTTAAAAGATTCACCAACTATTCATACCCCTTTATATACTCTCGCAGAATGCAAGGTTTGATCAACCTAAGCAGCCTCTGCATCTCTCACAGCAAAAATACACATATCTGCAGACATTTGCGGCCTCACCGAAAAAACATTGCTAGTCATTTAAGTCCAGAAGTTAATCTCTGCGCATCAAATATGAAGACTTCATTTCAGAAACAAGTTATTGGAATTCCAATCAGATCAGCAGCATATTCAGTCCAGAAGATGCCAAGACTGTTACTTGAAAATGCTGAGCGGCGCTATATTCCAACTCCTGCAAATAAATCTCTCACATGCAAGCAAAGTATCTTCCTTTCCCTCATTTCTCTCTTTCGACCCTAAATGAAAGAAGGTTCGTTTTACTAATCATCTAGTCTTATAATGTTTGCAGATAAAGTAGATTCAATGCTTAAAAGGATGAACAAGTTAGGGAAAAAAGCTGACAAATTTGCGCATGGGATCCGAGAGCATGGTAAGTAAATGAAAATTTGATTTGTGATTTAGAAACATCAAATTTCTTCTCAATCAAAGCTATAAGGATGCTTAATTCGTTTCAACTTTTGTAACTGCAGTGAGACTGGGAACCAAGATCACTGAAACTCTTGTAGGGAAGCTGAGCTTGGGGGCTAGAATTATTCAAGTAGGAGGGGTGAAGAAAGTTTTTAGGCAGCTATTTACTGTTAGTGAAGGAGAAAGATTGTTGAAGGTTTGCCAATGTTATTTGTCAACCACAGCTGGTCCAATTGCAGGCCTTCTCTTTATCTCTACAGAAAAGGTTGCCTTCTGCAGTGAGAGATCAATTAAATTGTCTTCTCCAGAAGGAAAACTGGTCAGAATTCATTATAAGGTAAGAAACAGAATAAATTTCTCTCTCCCGCTTCCGCTCCTTCTCTAGCATCTCTGGTATCTAACATCCAGGAATCATATTAATTTAAGCAGGTAGTGATCCCATTAAGAAAGATAAAGACAGCCAACCAAAGTGAGAATGTGAAGAAGCCATCGGAGAAGTACATAGAAATAGTCACAGTAGATGGTTTTGATTTCTGGTTTATGGGTTTCTTCAGCTATCAGAAAGCTTTTAAGTCTCTTCATCAAGCAGCAACTCAAGCTCACATGAATATAAGTCAGTCAACTCTGATGTAAACAGAAGTTTTTTTCTCCCTTTTGTTTTCATCCAATGTAACTAAATGATGAGAAGAGGGATCAACTTGATCAGTTGATCAAAGCAAATGTAAAAAGTTCTTATAAATATGAGAATTAATGTTTCTTGATTTCTCAACTTTCTGGGCTAAAACATTATATGATCATTGGCCAAACGGCAACCTGTCTAACAAGCTAGTCCTCGTACAAGCGCCACCATAATAAGCACACTTGATGCTCTCTGGTGCGTCCATTGTCGCCAGCTTAGCCCTGCAGTTTTTTTTTTTTTTTTTTTTTGGCTAATTTTCACGTCAATTGAGATTAAATATACTACTTTACAAGCCAAGCCTTGGAGCATGTATAGTTTTTGGTTCATTTCTAGATTGTCTTTCAGATCAAATCAGCCCAAATCAGCCCAAGTTTAGTATCATTAAAAAATAATTGTGATGTGACTAGTTATCCATAGTTAATGAACATTGAAACAACCTTGATCTTGTACATCAATTTTTTTTTCTTTTTTTCTTTTTAACCCGAGTAGAGAATTGCATGGAAGTAAGATCCTTTACCAAACAATTAATTTTTAGAATAAATAGCTCAAACTGTATGAGTCAGAGTCACTAATTTATCTCTATGTTTCTTGTTACATCTATTATTTTTTTTGAATAATATTTAATTTTTCAATATGTCCTTTGGATAAATTTTTTCAATCATTAGTAAAATTTTTTGACTGAAATGCCCTTGGCAAAAATACCAAAAAAAATAAATAAAGTTAATAAATAAAAAATAAAATTATAAAAACTTAAAAAATAAAACATGCAAGTCATTTGACTTAAAATGGTTATTATTATTATTATTTGAATTTCAGTCAAAAGACATTTTAATAAAAAAAATATATATATATTACTCATGTTCAGAAAAAAATTATTTTTTACAAAATAATAGATGAAATTAAAAACCTAAAGATAGATTAGAAACTCATGCTATTATATAAGTGCAAATTCAACTATTTATCCTAATTTTTGGTCAAATCTTGAGTGAACTAGTCATGTTAACTGAGGTTGAAATTAAATTCCACTAGCTTCTGTTAGTTAGGTGACACAGCTTGATTTGGAGAAAAATAACTGATTAAAAGTGTGCCTGTTCGTAAGTTGTTACCTCATCAAAGACCTGGTTAAGTGGTCGATTGGATTCTCAAGTTGCAGTAACTAATTACTATATTAACAACCAAAAACTCTGAAGAGCAATCATCCGGCAATATTTATGGCTGCCGACTTCACAAGAAATCTATTTGAAGAGCCATCACACCCTTAACTTCGAATCATTAGAAGACAAGTCCTGCTAAGATGACCTTCCTGAAGCGTTAAGCTACTTGCTGAGACAGGTAAAGTATGTATGTAATGCAATGGAAAAGCAGGTGAAGTACATTGTACTGTTCTAAAATTTGAGGTTAGGCTGGTTTGGTGGTTTTGAAAGAATACTTTAGGAATCACATGAGCCAACTGACAAAATGGTTCCAACTTCTTCTGGTCGTTTCCACAATCAGGAGCAGACCAAGACCCCCTTCCATTCCTTCACATGGCAGGCATCAACACTAGTGCCATTCTATGTCTCTATCAAACTCCAACATTAGGACCCACAAATTCCATCATGGCCCCATATTACTATTAACCAGCAAACTACCAAAGCTCCAAAAAGAAGATCCAAGAAAGCATAAGCAGATAGATATTCCAGGAAACAAATCAGAAGGAATCTTGCATAAGAAGCAAGGCAAAATCCATGATTGACAAACATTATATGATTCTCCGGCAACAGAAATATTTTAAGGTATCACCATGTATGTTATCAACCCCTAATTGAAACTAAACAAACCAACTGATCCATGTCACCCCTTCAATAACTTACACCCAAGCTAGAGTTTTATATCATGCCACAAACTTATTTAAACTTACAACCTCTCAAACTTCAGTTCATCTTTCAACAGTAAAAGGAAAAGCAAAAAGAGAAGATTCCCCAAAATTCCTACGAAACCACACACCCCACTTCATAATTGTAGTCCATTCAAAAGTAAAGAGGTCTCCAATATGAAGCATCAGTAAAGAGAGAATTGTGGAATCAACAAATAAAGAACTTATAATCATATCAGAATCCATAATTCTGGAGAATAGGAAACATCTTACAACAGCAATCTTACACAGCTGGAAGACGGGAAAGGAGAAAACAAGAAGATAAGAAAGACACACAAACAATAGAAGAAACAGAGTACAATCATAATATACATAATCATTCTGGCGATGATCATATAAAGGTCTTTATTCTTGTATCCTAACTAACCTGTGTCGGAGAGCATGATATAGGAATTATCACAGAATGAATATCCACAGAGTTTCAAACTGTTGAAATCAAGGGTCTCAAAGCTGAACATCTGGCTCATTTAAACTCCCTGTGTAATTCACTTTACAGCAATCAGGGAACTGCAATCCAGCCTCATCGCAGCCTGACTTGGTAATGTGAGGGCAGGACCTTACATCAAGGTATTCCAAAGAGTTGCATTTATCCAAAAGCATGCCTATTCCAGTTACTGTGATCTTTGGACAGTTACTGATCTTCAAAACCTTCAGCCTCATTATGGTTTCCATAGTCCCTAAACCATGAAAGGCAGCATCTGTAACCTCCCCACAGCACCCAACATCAAGAGCCTCCAGGTTTCTGCATTCAGTGAGGATGCAGCTTAACGAAGAGTCTGAGATATTTAAACACCAGTCCATACGCAAGTTCTTCAAACTGTTTCCACAGGAAGTGGCCAATGATTTTATAGACTCATCAGAGATGTCTCGGCAGCCACCAACGACAAGGGTTTCCAGATTCTTGCAAAACCTGGCCAAAGATAAAATAGACTTATCCCCAACTCTAAAACAGTCCAACAACTTTAGTGTCTTCAGGGAAGATGAACATGCCTCTGAAACATTGGAAATCCCACTGTCCCCCACATTACTGCATTTATTGATATCTAAGAAGTGGATCCGCCGACATCCACTAACAAGATTTGCAAGTCCACTGTCAGTTACACTAGTGCAACCTTGCAGGCCCAACTCTTGTAGATTTGGGCAGTTCTTAGAAAGAGCACTTAGTACTTCATCAGTAATAAATTTGCATCCATTAAGATGTAGGCTCCGCAGATCTTGACAGCCCTTAGCAACAGCCAACAATCCCTTGTCTGTTAGCTTTCTGCAATAGGATACATTCAAGGACTGTAGAGATGAAAGACCACCTCCAACTGACATCATTCCCTTATCTGAAATACCTGCATCACAATGATAAGACAGCTTAGCCAGTATTCAGAATAAGCACGCATGGGTAGAAAGAGATTATTTTGAGATACTTATTTACAAGAGAATCCATGCTAAAAGGTACACGTAATGCTACAATTAGTATTACAGAATACTGAAGATGCAGTAAGAGGCACATTAATACCATATGCACGAATCTGACACCAAATGGGAATGTTTATATCCCATTATAGTCAATGCCTTTCAAAATTTTACAAACAAAACATAACAAAAATAGAAAATTAACTGAATTCTCAGCTTTCCGATATTGTGAATTCACTCTCTAATTGTTACGTCCATCAGATGAAAACCGAATGCAGAGTTATCAAGAGAAAAAGCAAAGTCAACCATTTTTCAAATTTGGCAAAATTTAGTTTTATCTCACAATTTCATGCAGTAAACCCACCATGGGAATCTAAATCATCAATGCAATATGCACATTAAGTATCTTCAAACAATCTTAACTATTTTCAATTAGATCACCATGTTAAAGATACACAAAAACAATAACTTAAAAGTTTCTTCCAATATAATATTTTCCATCAAACATAGAAAAAATAAAAATAACCACCTAAGCCCTCTAATTATATCACAAAAATCACCAAAAGAGTTGACTTTACCCACACAATTATCCAGTTCAATCCAATTACACAAAACCCTCTTTTCATTATAGCCACATTTTCATACAAAAAAACCCACTAAAGCACAACAGTATCTCCACAAAATGAATTGTCTAAAACTCCATGACAGCGAAATAAACAAACACTTCTTGTATCCAATTGTAAAGAAACAAAAAATTATAAAAAGAAAAGAAAAAAGATAAGTGCTTTTACCTTTACATTGCTGCAAATTAAGGACTTTTAAGCATCTAAAACCATCAGCAATAACGGCAATATCAGAGTCAGTAACACCAGGATAAAAAGACCTTGAAACAGACTGAGACAAGTCCAATTCAATCAATCTAGAAAACCTAGCAGCCATCTTTTGAAGCATGTGAGGTCCAGCTCTAGCAGCAAGTTTCTTCCTTTCTGTACTCTGCAACTTTAACCATCTCTTGCAAACCAACCCAAATATCTCCTTGCCCTTATCATTCTCTAGCTTGGATAATATTGCTCTTAGCTCATCATCTGTTAATGCGTCGTTTATGCAAATTGAAGCCATTGAAGGTGGGGCTTTTTTTGAGTTGGGACTGTGGGGGTTGGATTAAAAGAGGAATCTTGATGTTTGTTTGCTTTTCTTATGGTAAAAGCGGGATGAGGAGGATGAACAGGGAGAGGAAGGAGAAGGTAGGTTTTTGAAGAGTTTTGAGGGTTAAAAGAGTTTAACATGTTTAGGGTTAGGGCTAGTTGTCTTCGTGTTGGGTTGGGTCAGGTTGTTGTTGGGTTAGGTGTCGTGTTGTTGAAGGAATGAAGAGGTTAGGGGGTCTTCTGAGTTGTAGTTTTACTTTTACGGGATTTATGTTATTTATTTGATTTGGTTAGAACTTAATATAATATTAAAATTAGAAGATGGAGAGGTTTCTATCTGCATGCATTCCGATATTCTAATTCGGGAGAGAGTTTAGTATTGATTTAAGATATAAAATACATTGACCCTTAACATTAAATAAATAAATAAATAAAAATCTAAAAATACGTTTTTATTTTTCCTTTTCCTTTCGGTAGATAATAATAATGATACAAATGTATCGGAAGGGAAAGATGGGCTATAGACAAACTACCTTAAAACAGTTATCCATATGTAAAAGCCCATGTAGTTAGTTAAGAAGTACCAAACACACTTCATCTTCTTGTCTTTGATAAAAACGAAAGAACAAGGCCTTATTTATTTCCTTTTTCTCTTCGCTTTACAGCCTGATAATGTTAGCTAGTAGTGGCTCTCGTATTTCACAGCACTTGAGAGATTGTCACTACAATAAAAATACACGTTTAGGGTTAGGGTTTTGCAACCCAAAAACCCCCAAAATTTCCCACCTTTCTTTCTCTTCTTTCATGTTGAAACCTCCCTCTTTTGTAACCATATTTGGTGGTGATAGGCATAATAATAATTGCAATCATTGTAAACATGGGTTTGTGTCTTTTTCAAATCTTCAATCAAAATCATCCTCAGGAGAAATTCCCATTCTTTCTGATTATGTAAGGTTTGTAATTCTGTTCTCTAAATTTCTCATTTTTCTGGGTTCTGTTTGGTTTCTAGGAACAAAGGTAAAAGTACAGTAAAGTTTTGTGCTTTTTGTTTATATGGGTTTTGTTTGTGTTTTAGGGTCAAACATGAATTAAATTTCAACATAAGCTTAATCATACAATTAGTGCAATTTTAATCCTTTCTGGTGAAAGAAATTTTGAATCCTTTGCTGGTTAATTACTTACGAAGTGATTGGTTTAGGTGAAAATTACAGAGATTACATGAAAAAGATTAAATTTTGAGAATTATTATAATTATTGGAATGCTTAATCTGATCAGGTTCAGGTTCTCACTTGCATATTGAAACCAATGTTTGATTGATGCAACATATATACCAACAGTTATTTATAGTGTTAAAAATTCAGAAGAATTAATGTTTGTTTGCAATTCCGTGTGTGTGACTAATACATCTCATTTTTGGTCAATTAGCTGATGAGTTTTTCTTTGTGCAAAAGCCAGCGAGATAGCAATCGGGAGCTTCCCTGTGAAGGATTGGCCTCAGTAGCAGGTTACTTTACATGTCCTTCATAAGATTAGCTGTTGGAATTTGATGGCGAATACATCCAAAATTTTATGTTTAGGCTGCCTTAAGTGCTTGTCTATTATTGATTGCTTCGTAATGATTTTTGCAGGAGGAATTGTAGCACTTGGAAAGTTTGATGCTCTTCACGTTGGCCATCGAGAGCTTGCTATTCAAGCATCAAAGTTTGGAGCCCCATACCTTCTATCATTTGTGGGAATGGCAGAAGTCCTTGGTTGGGAGCCAAGGTAACAGTTTATTGTTATGTGTGGGTGCACATTTGCTTTTGTGTTTGGATATATGAAAACTTTTCCAATCCCTTCAATTTTTGCATCTGTTGAGTTCGAGGTGCTTGCTCTTTATGTTTGTACCTTGTGGATTAAAGTTGGTTACCGTTTTACTGGGAATTTATTCAATGATTCCATAGCATTACAGTTCAGTGACAGTTTGAAGGTAGCAATCTTTATCACAGTTGTCTTGTTTCTACTGTAAAATTACTCCTATGGAACAAACAACACGTGCTCTGTCCTACTTCCTGTACTTGGTACCTTTTTAAACTTGTTATGATATGCTTAGTGTCTTAAATTTCACCATCATTTAATATTTCTAGCATAATTTGAAGCAAGTTTAAGTTTAAACCCAGTCAAAAAAGCTAAGCTCATAACTAGTTTATGAATTAATGTCCAATATGTACATGATTTATTATGTTGTTCTGAAGTGAATTTTTTTTCCTCATGATGCTTGGAACCAGATTAATGTTGAGAGAATGTTGGTAAACTTTGTTGCAACATGCATGAGTTGCACTAAAGTGGTGGATTCAGGGGGAATGGGCATAGTTGGCAAGCTGGCGGATCATTAGGAAAAGATGGTTGACATCTCCTTGTGCAATGGTGTTTTGATTCATCTTATTTTGGTTAGGAGGACTAGATTATTGGGGAATGATGATCAGTTGTTAAAAGTAAAATTGGAATATTTTTGTAAGTTAGCCGATTATGTACAGAGTATAATTCTTTTTTCTCTGTTGTGCCAACTTTTTAAGAAGAAATTTCCACTAGTGGTCAATCAAGTGAAGACACACTGTTTATGATCACGATTTACTGTGACAATTTTATAATGATAGTTATAACTCTTCTGGACAGGGCACCCATAGTTGCTAAATACGACCAGAGTAGAGTTCTTATAGTTAAAATGATTGTTATAACTTCCCAATCGTGGTCGATCAATTGAAGACACACTGTTTATAATCTTGATTTACTGTGAGAATTTGATAATGATGGTTATAACTTTCCTGGACAGGGCGCCCATAGTTGCCAAATGCGACCGGAGTAGAGTTCTTTCTTCTTGGGCCCCATACTGTGGCAATCTGGTCCCAGCAGAGGTCCAAATTGATTTTTCGAGTGTTAGACATCTCACCCCCCAGCAATTTGTTGAGAAGTTATTTAAGGAGCTTGGAGTAAGTGGAGTTGTGGCTGGTAAACAAAACTTCGCTGCTAGTCTCTCTATCTCGTTTTTTTTTTTTTTTTTTTTTTCGCACATGCCTGCATGTGATTTTTATGTAATAGACCTCTCAAATCTTAATGTCTGACTATGTCAGGGGAAAACTACAGATTTGGATATAAAGCTGCTGGTGATGCTTCAGAGCTGGTGAGGCTGTGTGAGAAGTATGGTATGGGGGCTTACATTATAAGTTCAGTCATGGACAAGAATCAAGATCACAGAAGCATGAACACAAGTGATCTAAAAGATAAAGGACAAGTCTCGTCCACCCGTGTTCGACATGCTTTAGCTATAGGGGATATGGAATACGTGTCAGAACTTCTAGGTCGCCATCATCGTCTCATATTGATGTTGAAAGACCAGAACGAACTTACTAAAACCAGCAGTGGATGGAAGGTTTCTGCTCCAAAGTCTTATCTCTTGAATCTACCACCAAAGGATGGTTTCTACGAAAACTGTTCTCTTTTTTTCGGTAATAAGGATCCAGTAACATGTAGAGTATTCATTGATACAATGCATGTCCATTTAGAAACGAACGACACAGATCCTTTCGATTATGATACCGCTCAAGAGTTGCATCTCATGGGCATTGAATTTGGTGATTCCAGACCTGACAGAGATTAGTACATCAGCCCTCACATTAGATTTTATTCATTGAAGTAGTTTGCGGACAATTCTTGTGGCAAATCGCAATTGAGTAGGGGCAAGCAAGCGAGAGCTCTTTGTAACTATTCCTTAGTTTACATTCACTTGTATGCATAATAATTTACATCAATATACATAATGTTAATTCCATTATTTAGCTAAAAACTGGAATCCTATGGACAGGACGAAGGTGCAAATATCTGTTCTTGAACGTTAATGCTGACATGGGTTTTCCTTGTAGTTATCTGAAATGTGCTTATAACCTTTTTATAAGAAGAGAAGTTCTCAAATGTTTGTCATAGAGAAGGAAAGGCTTTAAAGGAAATGAAAGAGCCTATTAGAAGCCAGCAATTTAACCGTTAAAGTTGAAATTGTAAGAGAAGTGACTTCACCCAAAGGAAGTTGTGCCACCAAAATTTCAATTCAAGCAACACGCAACGCAAGTGGAAAGAATACATTTTTTTTTTTAAAAAAAAGGAACAAATAAACAGAAAGGTAAAAAGAAAAATAAATACAATCTCTGTGTCCATAGAACAATGGAAAGGACAAGATACCAAACGAGGTTATGACACATATGTAACCAAAAAAATTATGGGCATCCATGAAAGCCTAAATGAATACACCCTATCCACCTTTGCATCTTTCCTTTTTCCATTTCCTTTTCCATTCAGAATCTTTTGTTGGAATATCCAACTTGGATATTCTTGACACCATTCCTATCTTACAAGCCACCCCTTCCTTTTCTCTCTCACATTAATTTCTTCAGAAGATTTTTCTTCTTATGTTATATCAAATAGATAGCATAACATAACAAAGCATCTTTATTTATTGGGATTCTAATTACTACAACATTCATTCCACATTAGTTAGATACCATAGAAATTACTCTCTTCATCTTATAAATGGAGTCCTTTTTTCTATTAGATGTCTTTAAATATATGTTTTTTGTTTAAAAAAAAAAAAACTATTTTAAAACAAAAATTAAATTTGCATATTTTTTTATTTAATTATATTTAATTTGAGAGAATAGTATAGTAAATATAATAATAGTAATAATAATAATAATAATAATAAGAGTTGTAGCATCCAAGAAAAACATATTTAAAGCCAATCCAACAAAGCAACCGCCATCCCCACAAATAAAAAATCTCTCTCAAGAAAGGTAAAGGAAAGAATCTCGCTCTCTCTCTTTCCTGTATTGAAGGACAATCATTCCTCTCTTCTCCCTCTATGTAAATAAAACAAGAAGCAAACTCAATTGCCATTCACATTGACTCTCTCAGGTCAGTTTCTCTCTCGTTATATCATTTCTTTTTCCTCCTTGTTTGCTTCCTTTTCTTTTGATTGATTTATTTATTTTTCCAGAAAGCTTGGATCTTTATTAAATTTTGAGCAAAATTTAGCAGACCCAACAACACATTTCATTCAGTTTTCATTTTTATTTTTTATTTTTAATTCAAAAGATCAGTACTTTCGATGGTCCTGCATTGCTTTTTTGAACAAAAGAACAAAACTTTACAATCGAAAACTCTATATTTTCAATTGGGTTTTCTTCTTTTTATTTATTAAAAGAAAGAAAGAACGTTTTGAATAAGAATTCTTAGGTGCTCATCCGAGTCGGGCAGAGATGGCTCGCTTTGAATTAAGGTGGTTAAGGGCGAAAGGGTCTTTTTCACGCTCTGGTCTCTTTGTCTTCTGACGTGTCATTTTTTATGGCACTCTGGTTTTCCTTAAAGGCTTTTGAGGTCCACAGGCTGTAGTTAATTTCAGTTTTCCTATCCTACCCGAGGCTCTTTTCACGCCTCATCCGTTTCTCTTAGGGGCAAAGCTGTATTTTTGTCATTCCACTTTGGCCTCCTAAACCACAGGAGATAATCTATCACTACTTATCTATCAATCACCATCTATGTTAAAAGCCACAAAGTAGTACCACGTGGCAAGCTCTTAATGGTCCGTTTAAATTTGGCAACTTAGTTTGGTCCCATTCGGTGATTTTGCCCTTATTAGTGTTTCCTTAATTGGTTTAATGTACTAATTAACACGTTGAAGTTGTGTATATTTTGTGCTGGCAGGAACGCGTTTTGCATCGGTAAAGGAGGCGTCTTGGTTGTTGTCTAACGTTTGATCAATCGGGCTGTCAAAAGAGAACAATTTTTGACAGCCCGAGAACAAAATTCAAAGACCCTTAACAAAGAATAAGGTAAACAACAACGTAGAATATTCCATCTTTGACCGTTTCCATGTTTTTCTCATGTGAATTGAAAGAGTATAGATATTTATACCTGTGTTTGGTTTTGTTTGTTTTGGTTTTCATTGAATTGTTCTTAATATTGTGCAGGGGATTAATTGTTTAACATTCAAATTTGGTTATCTGGATTGTGACCAAACTTGAAATTTAGTTGCTTGACTGGATTCTTGGCTTTGTGTTGTGTGGATCGTTGTGATATAGGATTGTTTGCTTATGAGAGGTGCTCTTCTTGTGTATCCAGTATGGGTTCCTTGTCTGGACTCATTCAAAGACCAGTGATTGCAGCGGCTGCGGCAGCTTTAGCTTCAGTTTCTGTTGATTTTTCTGATAAACTCCCATCTACTAGATCATCTGATACTTGTTCTTCCTTGGAACATTCAAGCTCATTATTGTCTGATTCAGTTCAGGATTTAAACTTTTCGTGGGATTCTTGCATTTTGGTTTCTAAGCTTGCAAATTCGTCGTTCTTAACAAGGATTCGGGTGCCTGTTCCCAATGTTAGCTTCCCAGTTCCAGATTTGAGCCAAACTTTTGTCCCGAATGCTTTAGGATTTTCTGTTGCTTCCTCTCCTTTTCTTGTTAATTTGTATCGGTCTGCAGAGTTGGCCAAAGGGCCAAAACCAAGTGCATTCAAAACCACAACTATTCCTACGTCCTCTCCTGATATATTGTATAGATGGCATTTGCCCGAGCTGAGTACTATTGATGTTTCTAGGTCTTCTGATTGTTCGTCAGAAAAGTCTAGGACAGTAGTGGTTTTGCTAGGGTGGTTAGGATCAAAGCAGAAACATCTAAAGAAATATGCTGAGTGGTATACTTCAAGGGGATTCCATGTCATTACTTTTACTTTTCCAATGGCTGAGATTCTTAGTTACCAAGTTGGTGGGAAAGCGGAACAGGACATTGACTTGCTTGTGAACCATCTGGCTGATTGGCTGGAAGAGGATGGAAAGAACTTGGTTTTCCACACTTTCAGCAATACCGGATGGTTAACGTAAGCTCTCTCTCTCAGGCATTTGCATTAACCATTTTGTTTTCTTCGTTCCTCACGAAACCATTTGGCTTGACATGCTTTCTTTTATGCTTTTTTTTTTTTTGGCAGATATGGAGCTATACTTGAGAAGTTTCAGAACCAGGATCCTTCTTTGATGGGAAGGATTAGGGGCTGCATTGTGGATTCTGCCCCTGTTGCTGCCCCTGACCCTCAGGTAAATGTTGGTTGCAGTTGTCTTTGTTGTTTTTGACACTTACAAGAACGTATTATTGGTATCGGGGAAGGAGATGAAATTCTTCTTTTTATCCTCTGCATGTATTGTATTATTTCAAACAAGTTTAGCAGTGTTTAATGAAACTGTTGCCTGTGTTTATGTTTGTTATCTGGCAAACCTTTGAAAACCATGAATTTTTTTTAACTGTCATTTTACACTTATAACAATGTTACAGATAATCACTCTGCCATTTTCAGCTGCTTTCTTCCTATTTTTCATTATGTCCAGTGTATGTTGTTTGTGCTGGGTGAACTTGAAAATGTCTTTTTTCTTTTTCCAGTAGTGGCTCTGATCATTAAGAGATGGAGTTGTGTGATTGGATTAATATATTTTTTTTTCCCATGTTGTTGGCCAATAATGGGAGGATCTTGAATCAAAGGCTTCTTGAATTTTATTCTGCTTTATGTTTACAAGTATATGCATAATTTTAAATAACTCCCGTTACATTGTATAACGGCCGTTATATAATGGTTTCGGAGCATCCCGTTACCGTTATATTAGTATTATAGTAAACCGCAATCCACGATGATGGCCGCGATCATTTTTTCACCCGTTCATTATTTAAAACTATGAGTATATGTATTGCTTTATTATTCTAGACTTTGTTCTTTCAATTCTTGGTTTCATTGTTTTAAGTTCTGGCTTCAAGTTCTATTTTTTGGCCATGCTCTCTACCACTTTTCCCTTTTTGTGGTTAGGAGATAGTGTTTTGATTTACAGACTAATATATCACAGCATTTTTGTATAATAGTGACTATAATTGGCTGCTTATATATTATCAGCAGGTTATGTTCTTTCTTTCTTGTGACCATGTTATTGATGATCAAAACATTGCTCATGTTTTCTGTAAATCATTATTTGAGATACTCTCTTTCTCCTTCTGTAGTCTTCCGGATCTGAGTTCATATGGTCCTTTTTTCCCTTTGTTTAGGTTTGGGCTTCAGGTTTCTCTGCTGCTTTTCTGAAAAAGCGTAGTGTTTCAACAAAAGTGCATGTGAGCTCAAAAGAGTCAGATATGGAGGTATTAGTTGGCAGCAAAACACTCGTGGAACCCAAGCCTGCCATAACTGAATCAGCTTTATTGGCAGTTCTGGAAAAGTTCTTTGATGTGATTCTGAACCTTCCTACAGTGAACAGGTAATAATCTCTTACCAACGAAAGAAACATCTGAAACCATACGTTGATGTATGCTTAATTATGTAATTCTTATCATTATTGCCATATATAGATTCTCCATGACTGGAACCTTATATAACTTTTCATTTTTGCAATGCAGGAGGCTCTCAGATGTGCTAAGCTTATTATCATCGGGACAACCAAGCTGTCCACAGTTATATATTTATAGCTCTGCAGATAAAGTCATTCCTGCAGGGTCTGTGGAATCATTTATAGAGAAGCAGCGAAGAGCTGGGCATGAGGTTAGGGCCTGCAACTTTGTGTTCACACCTCATGTTGATCATTTCCGAAATGACCCAAAACTGTATACTAATCAGCTCAGCCAGTTTTTAGATGATTATGTGCTTACTTGTTGCAAGAATTCTTAATTGAAACTGCTGAGGCAATTATTTTAGCCCTCATTCTTTTTCTCCACATATCATTATACACCTCATAGAATTAATTCTTTTTCATCCAATATATGTTTCTGAATTAAGTCAGAAAAATCATCTCTTTAATTTTTTTTCAAGTGTACTTGTTCTTTACATACAAGCCAAGTTACACAAAATATTAAAAAAGGTAATTCGATACCCAATACAAGTTTGCTTTCGAATTTTTTTGCCTACTCTGAGTAGAAGTTTGCTGCTTCATTTTTCTCAATGGTCTCTATTCTTACAAAACAGAATTTGTTACGAGCTTACTGATAATTCAACATCTTGTTATTGTACCGCCAAGCTAAAATTCTTACGGAGTGATCATATTATCTTCTATCTGTTGTTTGGTAGCTAGTTCATATTCAATTCAATCTGGCAAGCAATGTCAAAGAATTTCATGATGCTTGTGTAGGCTTGCATCAGTACAAGTCTTGTTGGTTATATATTTTAGGAACTTCAAAGTTATTTGTTTGTTATTTATGGAAGTGTAAATTTGTAGAACAAAGTGATAAGGGTAGAGAATGTAAGGGATGGTTCCCTTGAAGAAATTGTGTTAAGACAAAGAAAGTAAGGTAGTTTTCAAATATATGTTAAAACAGTCGCAATAGCATATACCGACCCCGTTTCTCATGTGAGTTACTTTACGGGTTCTTCCTGAGATATTACTTATCCATAGAAAGCTAGCATACACGTTATAATACATGGTAGAAATAGCCATCAACAGCAGTAGATAACGTGTTTAGATGTTGGAACATATGATCAGGCAGTCGGATAAGAGGCTTGCGTTGGTATGCCAGAGTCCTTCCTTTGCTGGGATATCTTTCTGCATCCGGATGTATCCCTCTTTCCCCCACTGTGCACCCCATGAGTTCTTAAACCAGCCTATACTTTGTTCCATCGCTGACCCCATAACCAACAGCAGTAACACCGTGGTCTAGTTGAATGTCGCAACTTCCTGTAAAGATGCCACTCGAGTAGAATTGGAACTCAAATCCACCAGCATCAACGGCGACCAAAACTGGTGGCTTAGCAATAGCCTTCATTGGTTCAGCTTCACTGTTTGCTACCACGTCTTCGAACCTGGTTATCTTTGTTGCATGGCTGGTTTCTTTTTGGGTGTTGCAAGTGCCATCGGTTCCCTTATATGGGTAGTTGGCCTCAGTTGTTAGGCCCTTGTTTTGTTCAATGAATTTGAAGGCATCATCTATCAAAACACCATTGCAGCCTTGATCCTCACCCTTCTTGTCACAATCAATAACCCCTTGCTCTGAAAGAGAGATCAATTTACTAGTTGTTAGCTACTTGATTCCTTCCATGGCTGCCATTGTCGAAAATGCCCAACAACCTATATTTGATTCAACAAAAACGAAAATGTTAGAAAGCATCGCTTTATAAGCTCTCGCTATTATTTTCACCGAGATAGTGACTTAGCGGAAGCTCACAAGAAAAGGATAAATCTCGTTGATTTGATATTCGGATATCAATCTACTATAACTTGTTGATTTGTACACAAATTCTAAGGAATAGGCTTCAATTCTATTGATTCAAAGAATATTGGCAATTGAAAAAATTGAGATACTCTATTACAAAAGTTTATTAATAAAGCAAAAGTGATGTTTTTCAACCTAAAAGTCTTATATAAATAGTAAATGTTAGGTCAAAACCCTAAAGCAATTTGAAAAGGAAACAAATACTAAAAATTCGAAATTAATTTGGAAAATCTTGAAATTAACTAAAATCCTATAGGAAATAGTAAATTGCAATTTTGAGGGCCTAAATGTTGTTGTTTTTTTTTTTTTTTTTTTTTTTTTTTTTTTTTTTTGCCAAAATCACCCCAACATTATGGGCATAGCCAATGAATTTTGCTCGTTAGCCTGTTTGGCATCGAATCAAGCTAAAAAAACCTTAGAATTGAGTCAACAATGTTTTTTTTCGCTTCGCTACGCTCATACTCGTTTCATGAATTCCCAAGTCCGTTGGTCAACATCATTCTTCCTAGGAAAGAGAAAATTCGCCCTTAAATTGTCCGCATCATCATCATCGAAGAGTCACTATGAAAGGGAATCAAATGCTTGACATTAAAAACATTAGCAAGTACGGATATGACTAGGCAACTTCGAGCGATAAGCATTGGGGTTGATCTTCTCAACTATCTCCACAAATCGAGCTAGCGACACCAACTTGCTATTGTCTCCCGCAAGTTTGGAAACACCTAGGATCTTACTCGATATAAGTACAATCTTTATCCCATTAAACATAAAACTATGTATTAGCTCACCCATCATGAATTACACCCCTATTATATCGTCAAGGCCTACTCAACGAGTAAATGGCATGCATCTATTGCAACTACATCACACCACACATTATCCCGATACTTAGAGCTAATGGAAAAAGAAACTAAAGCTTGTTGAGAAACATTTACCTCTCCTTCTTTTTTAAGCCATGCCAACTTGTAAGGCTTAGGATGCCCCTTCGTTTTGAGATTCGGCTTCAGATCTGTTTCATTATATACAATGTTCTTACAACTACCAAGCATCAATGACAAAATGACATACCTTATCCCGAATTATGCGGATGGATTGGAAAATATGACTCCTTAACCAATCATCCTTAATGAACCTAGGAGTTAAGTAAGACCTCCTCACAACCATTGTTGTCCCTTCATCTCCTATAACAATCTCCTCCTCCAGGATATCTCTATCATCATAAACGAGTTTACTTGCTAACTCATCATCGACTTCATCATACTCTTCCGTATCGACAGCAAGCACCTTCTTTCCGTCTTTCAACACTCCGATTGCCTATGGTTAATTTTATCATAACTAAAGCATTTTATGTGAGTATCGCTTGCTTCGCAAGGTCGTCCAACTCGCTAAAATGTTTCGACCTTCCCCTACTCGATCTACATTACCGTCGCCACCACTCAACCCACTACCGTCGTTACCGCCACTACCGCCTCGATATCGAAGAGGTTAGTTAAACCGCTTGAACAACACGATCGCTTCTCAACCAACAACGCCTTCGAAAGGTCGTTGAAAGACACACCGGATTGAACATATTAATGGAGTTCCTAATTTGTAGTTTCGGTCCCCGATATACCTCGCCACCAATTGATCCTTTGTCTCTTATAATTCGTTTTGGGCTAATAATTGGTAAAACTTCATGGTATAATTATCTACTAATCGAGCCCCTTATTTCAAATCTTGTAACCGTTGGTATATCATCCTCTAAAAATTATAGGGTAAGAAGGTAGTACGCATGTGTTTCTTCATCCTCTCCCAAGACGTAATCTTAGGCTTATTCATTCGATTTTTATCGACTTCACTTACTCCCATCAACTAGTCACCATCTTTCTAAACCTAGTGGCTACTAAAGGCACCTATTTATCCTCAATGACATCCTTAAACTCTAGAATCTCCTTTACTATTGATAGCCAATCTCAAAACTCCTCCGTCTCGAGTGGTGCTATGAAATTCGAAAATCTTTGTTTGCATACTACTCTCCCACCTCCTACCGTCAAGCTTCCTCATGGGAACTCAATGCCTCATAACTAAGACGTTCTCATCATCTTCATCGTCTTCATGGTCAGTTTCTAATACCTCCCAATTGTGATTTCGATTATGGTTCTTAGGACCTTTATCCATGTTTATCGTCGGTGCATCCATCCGTTGGGCCAATGCCCTTAACTCGTTGTGTCAACTGTTGTAGAGACTGCTCGCATCCTATCATTCGGCTTGCTCAACTCACTCGTTCCAAATGCATAACATCGGCTTGCTCATATAGCTCATCTATAACTCACTCTTGCTGCTGTTGTCTCTTTGGTGGCATGGTTAGGAAAGCGATATCTAGGCTCGATACCAACCGACGTAAGAGAAGCTCATAAGGAAATGATAAATATTGTTGATCCGATATTCGGATACGAGCCTACTATAATCCGTTGATTTGCACACAAATTCTAAGGAATAGACTTCAATTTCGTTGTTTCAAAGAATACCAACAATTGAAAAAATTGAGATACTCTTACACAAAAGTTTATTAATCAAGCAAAAGTGATGTTTTCAGCCTAGAAATCTTATATAAATAGTAAAATTTAGGTCAAAACCCTAAAGCAATTTGAAAAGAAAACAAATACTAAAAATCCAAAATTAATTAAGAAAATCCCAAAATTAACTAAAAATTCTGCAGGAAATATTAAATTGTAATTTTGAGGGCATAAACGATGTGTTTTTTTTTTTTTTTTTGCCAAAATCACCCCAATATGCCAATGAATTTTACTCGTTGGCTTGTTTGGTATCAAATTAGGCTAAAAAAACCTCGAATTGGGCCAATAGTGTTTTTCTCTAACTTCTGCCGTGCTCATACTATTTCATGAATTCCTAAGTTTGTTGATCCGCATCAAATAGGCACTTACCACACTCGTCCTTGGTCCTTGATAGGGGTTACGACTCCTTTCTTTCTCTAATCCATGGTAGTTGCCCGTGCATAAAAATTGTCATATCTAAAAGGCCTACTTGTGGAGAGCACGTACATATGGCCTTTGAATCTATTGCATGAACCTTTGAACTCGGCATTTGTAAGATCTCGCATATTGATTGACACCGAATTTGTAAGATTTTCCGATTTGATTGTTTAAAAGCATCTTTGTGTGCAACATTTTCCTTTAAATATGTTGTAACGAGTAGCCTTGTCATTATCCTCCATGCATAAACCCGTATGAGTCATCCATTGCTCATGCCTCTCGTACATGGGTGCATCCAAGAGGGTTCGAGCTATGGATTTAGAAGGCCAAACAAACAAATTGCAATTGCTTTGTGAACCTCATGGCTAGCAACAACCAAAGTGGTAGGAACATGCATGCCCTCGGAGGTTTTTATAGGAACTCGCTCTTGTCAATTGGTGTGCTCCACAAAACGAGCCTTTCACCTATGCGTGCCCTTAAAAAATGTTCGATT